CTGTTCACTCTGATGTAATTTCTCTGGGCCTGTTGACTTGGACTCTCGGTTTGTTCTTACTCTTCCTTGGTTTTCATTTTCCTCTTGATCATATTTATTATAGACTGTTCTCTTTTGAAGGTCATTATTCTCAGTGAAGAAGACGGAAAAAATACAGAGTTGAATAGTTTTGCTTTCTCTCCTACAGCTATTGGCAGTTCCCACCCCATTTTTCCACCTTTCAAAACATTGTTTTTTGTTAAAATCCCAATGTAGTTCCTTACTGTGGAATGCGTGTGCCCAGTTCTGCCCCAGTCAGACATAAACACAGCATCTTCGCACAGCGCCACGTGGTCAGGGGACCTTGAGGTGCACAGACATGCTGTGCACCAATTAACCGTTCAGGGAGAAGCTGCAAATGCCCATGATTTTTAGAGAGCTTTAAAGGTAAAATTAAAATCTTCATTGTGTTATTGTGAGAATTAAGATCTGTGAAGCACTCCTAACTATAAGGTTGACCAACTGGGTTACCGAAGTAAATTAGCCGACCCAGCTACCAGCAGGGGCACTGGACAGTTCAGTTTCTAAGGCATTAGGGGATTCACATCGTTCCTGGGACATCCTTAGTGTTGGTTTTGGGTTTTATATTTTTAATATTTCATAGGCTCTTCGAGGTGAATCACTTTAACTTGCATCGCGGGGTAGGTATTGTTCATCTTCATTACATGAGTAATCCTCAGCTTGTGGCTAGCAGTCAGTGGGCCATCTGTTAATACAATATAGCTTTGTTCTTTTTGATGTAGGAGATCAGGTCATCTCTGAAAACAAACTTTGTATTTTCCCTTTCCCTCCCTCCCTCTTTCCCACCTTTCTCTCTCTCTCTTCTTTCATTTCCCGTTCCTTTTCTCCCTCCCTCCCTTCCTTCCTTCCTCCCTCCCTCTCCCCTATCTTCCCCCTCTCCCCACTTCTCTCTCCCTCCCCCTCTTCCTCTGCCAGTCCCTCTCTCCCTTTCCCTTTCTCACCTTACTGCACTAGCTAGGGCCTCCAGTGTGATGTTTAATAGGAGTGGTGAAATCAGGCATTCTTACCTTGTTCCTAGTATTAAGGAATGGTCTTTCACTACTAAGCAGGGTTTTTGTAGCTGCCTCTATCACATTGAGCACATTAACTTCTATTTTTAGTTTGCCGAGAGTTTTTATAATGAATAGACAGACATTGATCAAATGGTTGTCTTTAAATCTACCATCTTCCTATTTCTCTAAAAGATTTTATTTATTTATATTTTCTTAGAGAGAGGGGAATGGAGAGAGAAAGAGAGGGAGAGAAACACTCATGCACGAGAAAAACATTGATCAGTTGCCTCTCACACGCACCCGGACTGGGGATTGAATCCAAAACCCAGGAACATGCCCTGAGCAGTGATCAAACCAGCAACCTTTCTGTTTGCTGGATGACACCTAACTCCCTGAGCCACACCAGTCAGGGCTACCATCTTCCTATTTTTATTTATTTGTCTCATCTTTTCTTTGTCTCCTTTTCCTTTGAGTTAATTGCATATTTTTTTAGAATTCTGTTTTTCTCTTGTGTTGACTATTAGTTATTCCTTTATTTTTTGTTTTTATTTTTTAGGGGTTGCTTCATAGTTCAGAGTATTCATCTTTGACATGTCATATTATACCATCCAGTAATGGTTTTATATATAACTTCATGTGTATTGTAAGAACCTTAGCCCTGCCTGTTGTGGCTCAGTTGGTTGGATGGTGTTCTACAAATTGAAAGGTCACAGGTTCAATTCCTGGTTAGAGCACAGCCCCCTGGGATGGGGGCTGGTCCCCAGTGAGGGCATGTGCCAGAGGCAGCCTATCCGTGTTTCTGTCCGTCTGTGTCTCCTGCCTTCTTGTCTCTCTAAAAATAAATAAAATCTTTCAAAGAAAGAACTTTATAACAATCTACTTCTATTTCCTTTCTCTCTGGGTCTTTGTAGTGTTATTTTCATATATTTTACTTCTATATAAGTTACTAACCCCACAGTACATTGTTATTTTTGTTTTAATCAGTGTTACCTTTCAAAAAGATTTTGAAAATAAGAAACAAACACATTTTATGTTTACCTGTATCTTTATCATTTTCAGCACTCCCTTTTTCTCCCCCACTATTTTTTAAAATCCTCATCTGAGGATATGTTTATTGATTTTAGAGAGAGAGGAAGGGGGGGGAGAGAGACAGAGAGAAGCATGGATGTGAGAAGCATCCATCAGCTGCCTCCCGTATATTCCCCAACCAGGACTTGGACTACAGCCTAGTATATCCTGTGACCGGGGATCAAACTCACAACCTTTTTGGTGTATGGGACGATGCTCCAACCGGGGTTGGACCCTGGACGATGAGCCACCCAGCCAAGGTTCAGTACTCCTTTCATTCCTCTGTGTAGAACCAGGTTTTCTAGCCGGTGTCATTTTTTTCTGTCAGCCTGAAGGACTTCCTTTAATACTTTTTATAGCACAAGTCCACTGGTGATGAACTCTGTAGGCTTGTTTATGTTTGCAAAAAAATATTTTGCCTCAAAAATTTTTCCTTTGGGTATTGAATTCTAGGTTGAGTTTTAGGTTTGTTTCAGTATTTTCAAGATGTTGCTCCCTGTTTTCTGGCTTACATCGTTTCTCACGAGAAATCCTCTGTCGTTCTTATCTTTGTTCCTCTGTACTTCATGTGTTTTTCTTTCCTCCAGCTACTTTTAAGATTTTTTCTATCACTTATTTTAAGTAATGTTATGATGATGTGCATTAGTATGGTTTTTTCATTTTTGTTGTTTGTGGTATTCCTGGAATTTCTTGGACTTGTGGGTTTATAGTATTTTTTTAAATCAGATTTGTAAAAGCTTTGTCCATTCGTTTTTCAAATATTTTTTTCTGTCCTCTCCTCTCCTTCAGGGAGTCCAATTCCATATGCATTATGTTGCTTTCTGTTGGCCTGCGGCTGAGTAATAGTGGATTTGCTGTCCATTTATTGTCCATCCTTTTTCTCTCTGTGTTTCATGTTGGATTATTTTTATTGCTAGGTCTCTAAATGTACTAATCTTTTCTTTCATTTCTCAGTATGCTCATGTTTTCTTTTACTTTCTTCAGTACATGGAATATATCATAATGTCTTGTAATGTCCTTTTCATTAATTCCCTTATTTGTATCATATCTGAGTCTGTTTTTGTTGATTAGTTTTTCTCATTACATGATATTTTCTGGGGTTTTTTACATGCATGGTAATGTTTATTGGATGATGAATATTGTGTACCTTACCTTGATGGATACTGAATATTTTAAAATACCCTTTGTATTTTTGAAACTTATTCTGAGATACATTTAAGTTTTTTGGGAATAGTTGGATCTTTTTGAGATTTTTGTTTAAGCTTTCTTGTATAGGATCAGAACAGCTTTTATTATAGGGCCAATTTTTCACCATAAAGGGCAATACTTTAGGGTATTGTGTCCACTACCTAGTGTCCAGTGTATTGCAAGGTTTCCATTCTGACTTGTGGTCTCATGAACTTATTCTGGCCTTGTATAATCTTTAGAGATGAGTTCACCAGTTCCTTTCCAATGCTTCTTTTTCTGACCTCAGGTAGTGTCTTCGTGTGCAGATGCTGATCTGTATTTGGTTGAGACTTGAAAAGAAAACCATAGTCTCTGGAGTGTTCTCTCAGTAGAGTCCTCCCCTCTCTGATGTTCTGCCGCATGAATCCCAGCAGCTTTGCCTCCCTGAATTCTCAACTCTGTTTCCATAATATTAGTTTTTCTTAAAATATTATGACAGATTAATATTAATAGCTTTAAAAATGATTTTTTAAACATTATTTTTGGCTTCCACTCTCATCTTTTTATTAATACCATAATGTTATCTAAAAGAGCATTTATACTGGATCTGATGATAATTTAATTTTTCTTATAAATTAAACTTTTTGATAGTGGTTTTAAATTTATATTTGGCAAATACATTTCTAATAGAGTTAAATTATTTTTAAGCTTAATAGTTATTTTTTAGTTCTTAGGTGATGTAAAAATATTTTGGAATATCAAGGGTTTTTTTGTTTGTTTGCTGCATTATTCACTGCCAAATTTAAAAAATATACAGAATAAGGAATATAAAAATGCCATAGAAGTTTATTGTAGAGCTCTACTTTTATAATCTATTATGCCTTCCATGCATTATGAGACAGTTCCATGTTTCTGTCTTTTCAAATATTTCTAGGTTAATTTTATTTACTTTATTGATGTGTAGTATACCAAAATGTTCTTAATGCCATTATTCACATCTGCTGACATGTTCATTATTTGGATTTTTTATCTCAACCAAAAGTAGAATGTGGTGTGTGGGGTTGATGTTTCTGTTCTGTATAGTATTCTGCTCTGATCTTACCTATCACATCTTGTTGTGGCTCCTGTCCAATGGAACATTCACCATTATCATGCTCGTAAGGTTTCTTAGATGAAAGTCTAAAAGCTAAACATTGCCTTGGTAAAAAAAAAAAAGAACATATATATTAAGTGTCCAGCCTCATTTTTATATACTTTCTACTTGCAATATCAATGTTACTTTTCCTCAAAATCAGATTTTAATGTTCAGTACTTCACACTATCATTGACAAAATTCTTCATGTGTAATAAGAATATCTGATGAGTGCTATTAATCTTATTTTTTACATTTTTTCACATTCTCATTGTTTATGTTGCTAAATCTTTGGAGATGAAAAATAGGCAAAGTTTATATTCTCTTTCAATAAAATAAATAGAGTCTAGTGATTTTTGTCAGTTTTTACCATTTACCATTTGCCAGAATGTTGCATGTAATGTGTTTGAAGAAGTCCTACCTGCATGGTCTCTGGCCAGTGCATGGGCATTGTTAAGTCAGTAACTTTTTCAGCTGGTATGTTTAAGTTTGGGTAGGTGACTGGGGGTTTGCGTGGTAACCAGAAATAATCACTTTAGTAATAAAAAAAAATCAGCACCTTTCCGCTCTCTTTTGTGTAGTATCAGAGATGCAGAGTCTGGGACAAGCTGCACGAAGAGCACATCAACGCGGGACGCACCGTGCAGGTGAGGCCATTTCTGGTGGGTCGGTGGCAAAAGGACTTCAGAGCCTTCGATAAAATGAATGCTCTCATAGCAGAATCCTTTTGTGCATATGTATAACTAATCTCTTAAAGATTAGTATAACTAATCTCTTAAGGGAATTACTGAATCAAATTCCATACATATTTTTAAGATTGTGGTTCCTATTACTAAAATTTCCTCAGAAATGATATATCAACTTACAGTCTCACAATCATGGCATTTTCCAAAAACCTTCCAACATTAATATTACCCATTTCTCCAATTTTTGCTAATTAGTAGAATAAAAGAATGTTGCTTTTATGGTTTTAATCTGGGTTTTTTTCTTTTATTGCTTTGACATGTGAAAGGCTTTTTTAATACAGGCTTTGGTTGATAATATTTCATTTGTAAATTTACAAAAATTTTCTGTTTGTGTCCCTTGCTTATATTATATTATATTATATTATATTATATTATATTAATATTATATTATCTTTTGCAAGAATTTTTTAAAATTTAAATATACTGATCTTCTCTCTGTAATATTTTATTTATCTTTTCAAAGCTCCTGGATTTATTGATCCTTAAAATTGTGCTTCTAGTCTCTATATCATTTAATTCTGCTCTGATCTCACTTATTTCCTTCCTTCTATGTGCTCTGGGCTGTCTTGTTTTTGTTCCTCGAATTCTTGTAGGTGTAGGGTTAGGTTGTTTGTTTGAAATGTTTCTATATTTTTTAGGTATGCCTTTATCACTATGAACTTCCCTCTCAGGACTGCCTTTGCTCTGTCCCATAAGTTTTAGGTTATTGTGAGTTTATTTTCATTTGTTTCCAGAAACTTTTTGATTTTTATCTTGATCTCATTTTTGACCCTTTCATTGTTTAATAGCATGCTATTCAATCTCCGTGAGTTTGAGTGTTTTTGAGTTTTTTCCTTGAGATCGGTTTCTAGTTTCAGTCCCTTATAGTCAGAGAAAATGTTTGATATGATTTTAATTTTCTTGAGTTTGTTGAAGCTTGTTTTGTGTCCTATTATGTGGTCTATCTTTGAAGATGTTTCCATTTGAAAAGAATGTGTATCTTGCTTTTTGGGGATGAAAGGCTCTGTATATATCAGTTAAATTCCTTTGATCTAGGACATTGTTCAATGCCGCGATATCTTTGTTGATATTTTGTTTGGAAATCTGCCCATTTTTGACAGCGTGGTGTTAAAATCCCCTACTCTAATTGTGTTGCTATCAGTATCTTTCTTGCAGTCCTCCAAGATTTTCTTTGTGTATTTGAGTGCTCCTGTGTTGGGTGCATAGGAGCACTCAAACATATTTTGAGTAAACATAAACATATTTACAATGTTTATGTCTTCTTGATGGATTCTTCCCTTGAGTATTATGAAGTGACCTTCTGGATCTCTTTTTATGACCCTTTTTTTAAAGACTATTTTGTCTGATATGAGTATTGCTACCCCGGCTTTTTTTTCTTGTCTGTTTGCTTGGAAAATTTGTTTCCAGCCCTTCACTTTCAGTCTGTGTAAGTCTTTTGTCCTGAGGTGGGTCTCTTGCAGGCAGCAAATGTGTGAGTCATGCTTTCTTATCCATTCACCTATTCTATGCCTTTTGATTGGAGCATTTAATCCATTCACATTTAAGGTTATTATTGATAAGTACTTATTCATTGCCATTTTTTCATACTTGTGTTCTCCTCTCTCTCTCTCAGTCTTCCTTCCTTTTCTTAAAGCAGTCCCTTTAGCATCTCTTGCAGAACTGGTTTGTTTTCTTTTAGACTTCTTTTGTCTGGGAAGCTTCTTATTTGGCCTTCCATCTTAAGTGAGAGTCTTGCTGGGTAAAGCAGCTTTGGTTGCAGGCCTCTGGTTCTCATTACTTGGAATATTTCTTGCCATTCTCTTCTGGCTTGGAGCGTTTCCATTGAGAAGTCAGCTGCTAGCCTTATCGTGGTTCTCTTGTATGTTACTTCCTGTTTCTCCCTTGTTGCCTTTAAGATTCTCTCTTTGTCTTGGAGTTTTGCCATTTTAATTATGATGTGTCTTAAAGTGGGCCTCTTTGGGTTCCTCTTGATTGGGACCCTCTGTGTTTCCTGGGTTTGTGCGACTTTTTCTCTTATCAAATTAGGGAAGTTTACCATCATTATTTTTTCAAATAGGTTTTTTATTTCTTGTTCTTCTTCTTCTGGTATCCCTATTATATGGATATTATTACATTTCACATTGTCTTGCAGCTCCCTTAGCACCACTTCATTCTTTCTGAGTCTTTTTTCCTTTCCTTTCTCCTTCTAGGTATTTTTTTCTACCTTGTTCTCCAACTCACTGATTCAATCTTCCACTTTATCCAGCCTGCTTGTAATTCCTTCCAGTGTGTTGTTTTTATTTCTTACATTTTATCATTCATTTCCTCATGGTTTTTGTTTATAGTTTCTACTTCCTTTTTCATGCTGATGTATTTCTCACTCAGTTGCTTGTAGTTGTCTGTGAGTTCCTTGAGCATATTTATAGCCATTATTTGAATTCTATATCTGATAGGTTGGTTACCTCCATTTCATTTAGCTCTTTTAGTGAGGAGTCTTCCATTCCTTTTAATTGCATGTTCATTTTTTATTCTTCCCATTTTAGGTGACTATTTTTGTTTGTTTCTGTGCTTCCTGATGTTTTGCTTTGCTAGCTGTCTTTGTAGGGTGAACTATGGTAGGAATTCTATGGGGTTCAGTGGTGTGGTCTCTTTGATCTCCTAGTCTGTCCTTTCTTCTGTTTGTGTGGGTTCTCTTGTACTTGGATTTTTACCTTTTGGTGGTTCCTTTGTTGGTGGTTTTTCTCCTCCAGCAGGTGTAGTGATTTTCACAGCTCCCACCTATTCTTTTATGGGATCAGTGGCAGGGGGTAGGCAAAATGGATTAAGACAGCGAGAGAGTATTTTATGGGATTTAAAATACCAGCAAGTAGAGAAGAGATAGGAGATTCTTTGGATAAGTACTGTATAGCGTTAACTGTGATACTTCACCCAACTAGCTACTATGTATAAAAGGTGAGAGATAAGACTCTTGTTAGAGGGGAAGGTGACTATGAACTGAATCCAGAAAATAGAGCACTTGTGCAAGGTTAGATGATGAGATATCGTGACAGTAAGGGATGAAAGGTAGGCGCAGTGTGAGAAAGAATAGAGTTAACCACAACAATAATAATGCTCAGGACTGAAGTGAGGTGGGCGAAGATCAGGGACGGTTGCTGTGTAGTATGTACAATTGTATGGAACAACAATTATTTACAATAGTACTGGAACAACAATAATATTATAAGAAATGGTGTGATTTGGATAACCAGAATAGAAAGTACCCAGTCAAGAGTTGTGTGTTATTGGAACATGGGTGAAGTGAAAGAAGGAAAATTAAAATACAATAGAGAGAATAAGGAAAATCAGTCAAATAATGAAATTAAACAGAAAAAATGAGGAAAACTAAACATATGGAAATTTAAAAATACTAATAAAAGTGGTAAAAATAATGAAAAGATAATAATAATACACATAAACAATAAAATGCCAGCTCTAAGAGATAGCAAAGTGACATTTGTCTCTTTCTCAGTTTTGGGGGGTTAGCCTTGTGCTACCCCTCTTGATCTGTCTCTGGACCCTTCCTAAGTCCACATCTTATAGTCTCACTTGGGGGAGGAAAAAAAAGAGAGAGATCCAAAAAGAAAAAAATAAGCCTCCTGCTGACTTGTTCAGAGAGTTCTGCTGCTCTTCCTAGATGCCACAGGAAGGAGGTGCTGGGCTTTGCTTTCCTTCCTATGGTTTTGAGAGGATGGGGAACAGGTCTGGGTCACAGTTTCCAGGCCTCTGCCGGCCCAGGTCCTCCATGAGCCGCCAGGTTCAAATCAGCCACTCAGTCTGTGAGTGCCCAGCATGATTGAGTCTTGGGCAGAGCTGGGGACAAGCCCAGCACATGCGGTTTTGCTCAGCTACTGTCTCTGTGCACGTGCAGCTGAAATCTCCCTGGGCCTGAGAGTTCCTTACAAAGCAGCTGCCCACCCATTCTTACCAAGGGCACGGCTTTTCACACGGCCCAGCTTTCCAGCCAGTCCGGAGACTGGCCGAGTCAGGGTCCTACACGGCCCAACTCCTCCCTTCTCCAGGTGTCAAACCGCACCTCAGTTTCTCTGGTACCAGCTTCCACAGTTTTAGTGGATTTGTACCGCCTCTGTTTGTCTCCCACTTCGTTTCTGTTCCCTTCAGTGACTTCCAGCATCCAGGGCCCTCCTGGTGCCGGGCTGCCCGCCTTGCTCTGGTAGGGGAGGGAGCTGGTGCTCTAACCTCCCTCCCTGTATCCTGCAGCAGGCACCAGCCAGGGGCTGCAGCAGCCTGGGTCCCCACGCAGATCCCAGGGACCTTACCATCCCAGCACATTCTCCTCACCATATGTTTTTCAATGTCCTCTGCAATTTTTTCCCTCCAAACTTCATATAAGCTGGGATTCTGTTCGCTGTTCACTGTGTTCATCGGAAGCTCTGCCAGGTGTTCCAACTGGGCCCAGGGAGAACTGGGCCCCGCTCCCACCTACCTCGCTGCCATCCTCTACCACTCTCTGTAATATTTTCAATTAATACAGTATAGCAGTTATTCTTTGCTACTTATTGGCTTTTTAGTAAATAAACTTTAATTATTTTAAATTAATTTTTGAAAATCATATATTTATATAGTTAAAAGCCAAATAAAATTAAAAAGCTTATAAAACGCTCCCCTAGCCATCTTCAAGTACTACCTGCAAGAAACCACTTTTGGTCATTTCCCCTGGATGTTAGAATAAATTCCTACATACCATGTGTACATAGGTGTGAGCATGATCTCTTCACATCTTGCCATAATAGGTGGAGACCTAGCTTTTCCACCTGGCTCTTTTACTTCCCTTCCCCTTATATAATTATGTATAACTTTTATTTAAATTAGTTATTAGTATCTCATTATTTGGTTATAAAGCTAAAGTGTGTTGCTAAGCCAGA